TTTTTCCTAATTAGATTTTGACATGTGTCAAATAAATCTTATTTATTTTAATAAAAATTAGTCTTAATTTGCTAATAATTACTTGATTAATGTCTAACTATAAATTGATTTTATTTGCTAACAATTCACTTTTTGTTTATTTCTTACCGCATTGATATGATGTGTAGTGATTTATTTTTCCATTTTTTACTTTTTTTACGTATAATAAATATTAAAACGTTAAAAATATTTTATTTTTTCAAATTCGGATTTGTATACAATGTAATTAATCTTATCGAGACATGTTTGAGTCAATCGCTTAGATTTATACAAGTATAAAATATTCTTTTCAATTAGATTTAGCCACATGTCAAAAGGTTTATATATTTAAAATAATAATATCTTTATTTGACAAATAGTATAAAGTAATCCTATTTTACATAGGACTAGAAATTTTTAATTATTTGAATATATGTGATATAGTTTAATTAAAAATCAAACAACATAAAAAAAAATATAAATAATACAATAGATAAATATTTGATAGACTTCTCTATAAATATTTAATCATTTGAATCTTTTTTCGTCTTTGATTTTTTTTTTTGCAAGTTATAAAATATTAAATATAAAAATATTTCAAATATAAATATGAGAAATAATTTTTTAATATTTTCAAAATAGATATTTGAATAGTAAAATAATATTAAAAGTAAAAAAGTTTATTAAATTTAAATAGGAATAAGAAAAACTAATAATTTCAAAATATGTGATAAAATTTAATTGTATATCAAATAACAGAAACATAAAAATTAATAAAATTGATGATATTTTTGATCAATAGTTTTGCATTAACATTTTACTTTGATGTTAACGGGTGATCTAATTTTGTTCGTCACAATTAAATATTTTTTCTACAGATTTATAAAAAACATAATCACAAACCCGCATATATGCGGGTCTTTCATCTAGTATATTATAAAGACTCTAATAGTATCTATCCATTGAGGATTGTAACGCCCAGACCGCCGTTGAGCTATCGGTATGCAGGGAAAATCTCCATCCTCTTAAGATAAATCCTCATCTCTCAATAACATACATGAGAAATCTTTATCCCTTCAGGAGAAAT